TTGGGAGCTGTGCAGGATAAGGTTTACTGAAAATTAAAAGCAAAAGCACTGAAGTTTGCATTTATCTGCTAGTATCATGCCTTTTCCTAAATCCCCTTCCCCAGTGAGTATTCTCTTGTTTGGGCTGGGTCTTAAGTAAACCTATGGCCTTGCATAATCTCTGTTGCCCCTTCCTAAACTCTTGATTTCAGGTAACGAGGTTATGGTGGAATGTTGTTCTTCAGCACCACTTCCTGGCAGCAACAGTAACTATGTATTTGCTCTTTTTTTGCCTGTTATAGCTCCTTTTTTGCCAAGCAAAGGAACTTCTGTGGCAGTAGTGCTTGAGTTCACGTACTTTATTTACAAATATTTTACAAATATTTTTATTATTGCAAGTTATACCGGTTGTTTCCTTCTCCCCACAGACAAAGGAAATCTATTACTTCTTCCCATTTGATTTAACTGTAATTTTATTTGGATTCATCCTTGCACGAAATTTGATCAGAGCAAATCTGCCACAGAAACAAACTGAGGTGCTGGAGGACTCCTTGTTACAGGTACAGGTAACTCAGTGATGAAACAGGTACAGGGCCAGAAAAAGTGTTGCCCAGGAATCATTTTAGCTTAACTAGCAAAGATTTCTGGTTGTGGTAGTGAGTTTCAGTCAAGTGTGGAGCTATCAGTGGATCCAACAAATCATAGATTTTTCCACTAATGCTTTATGATGCTCCCAGAAGTCAGTTCTGTTTCATAAACAGATTTGCAGTCTTTTTTGCTTCAGTCCCCATTCACTTAAGAGTTGGATTTGATGATCCTTGTGAGTCCCTTCCAACTCAGAATATTCTGTGATTCTTTGTAATTACTGTGTATGGCTGCAACATTTTACAACAGAATTGGTGGTAAACTGGTAAATCAAAAGATGTGTGGTCAGCAGGTCAAGGGAGGTGATTCTCCCCCTCTACTCTCATGAGACCCCACCTGGAGTGCTCAGCACAGGAAAGACATGGAGCTGGGACAGAGAGAGATCTCTGGAGCTGGTCCAGAGGAGGGCACAAAGATGATCAGAGGGCTGGAGCACCCCATGCACTTTGAGGTTGGAGGCTGAGAGAGCTGGAATCGTTTGGCCTGGAGAAGAGAAGGCTTCAGGGAGACATTGGAGCACCTTCCAGCACTGAAAGGGGGGCCTACAGGAAGGCTTGAGAGGGACTTTTCACAAGGGCGTGCAGTGATAGGACAAGGGGGAATAGCTTCAAACTGAAAGAGAGTAGGTTTAGATTAAATATTAGGAAGAAATGCTTTAGTGTAAGGGTGATGAAATGCTGGAACAGGTTGCCCAGAGAAGTTGTGGGTGCCTCATCCCTGGAAGTGTTCAAGGGCAGGCTGGATGGGCTGTGGTCTAGTGGAAGGTGCCCCAGCCTATGGCAGGGGGATTGGAATTAGATGATCTTCAAGGACACTTTCAACCCAAACCACTCTGTGATTCTGTGATCTAAGGCAAGAGAATGACAATCATAGAAATGCGATGGATAGGACGTGATTGTATTCATGTTTGCATAAATCATGTGTAACAATAGGACAGGACTGCTGGGTAGTTCAGGGTTACCAAAATCTCTTGAATTGTACTGAATGCCAAGACAGAAGAGTAGTTGTTCCAGATCCAGAGATTAAGTCCTCTCCTGTAGCTCAAGTGCAAAATGTCCTAGAGCCAAGATTAGCCATGGCCCATCCAGTCACAGTAGGAAATAGTCCAGGAGGGATTACCTTCCCATAATGCTAAGCTGCTAATGCTTCAGCAGATAACACTTTCCAACTTAAAAAGCAAGAGCAAGCTTGGGGATCCAGCCATGGGTGTGCCCTCAAAGTATGCATTGTTAAAGAAACTCTCTGTCTAACCCTGCTGATGCCAGGACCTGTTTTGGTCTGAGCCATTGCAGCTTTGCTCTAATGACAAGGTCTGTCAGGATGGACAGGACCTATAGAACTTTCAGAGATGTGAAGAGGGGGAAACACCAAGAAGAATGTTTGGTAGGAAGGAAGAGAAAGTGATTGCTGTTGGCTAGTGAGAACACAAGTTAGATAAGGGAGGAGCTGGTCACTCTCTCATGCCTGCTCATGTCTAACACTTCTCTGTTAGGCTGGGCAGTTATTACGCTGCCCGTAAAAGTGCTATAATAAAGCATGCATATGTTTTAGTGCACATGCATGGTGTTATGACTAATCAGTAATTAGTTCCTGTGTACATACCCCTTCTCACAGCGCTGTCAGGCAGAGCACAGGGATACCATTTCAATGGCATCGAGCATTCAGTTAAATGGTACGCTTCCCTGATGGGAAATATTTGGATCATGCAGTCCTCCTGCTCCCTCCTTCCCTCTGGGAGTTTAATGTTCTACCCCATCTTTGGTTCTTTCCTTAAAGGGCTTTTCCACTATCACACTTCCACCCATGCAGCTGACCTGCACGCCCGATGCAGCTGCTGCCCCAGAAGTGGTGCTTCTACAGAGGGAGGGGAGAGGTCTGAAGACTGGAAAAAAAACACTTCACAGCTCGTGCTGCGGCTGCAGAGCTCACAGTCAGCAAGAACCCAGAGCAGTGCTCCCAGCAGGAGCTGCACCAAAGCAGCCAAGAGTGGCCCTGCTGCTGGGAACAAACGTCAGCCCCGCTTGGCCGCCTTGGTTCTGAAGTGGGTGATGTCACTGATAATGTTCCTCTGCCCTGTTACATCAGCGCTTGTGTGCTGCAAATGCCAAAGGGGGTAAGAATCTGGGAGAGGGAAATGGAAGACAAAGTTCAGCCCTGGTGGTGGTCTCTGTGTCCTAATTGCTCTCAAGTTTCCAGTGATGGTATTCCCTCCCCCTTAGGATGTGTTGTTGTGTTCTGTTGGGAAGCTGAGATGTGCCTGCCTGTGCCCAGTGCAGTCGGGGTGATTAATCGGTGATGGTAAAAATGATCTGTCTGACTGCACCTTGTGAGTATGTCCCTAGAGGTAGCCTTTATCTACATCTGTGATCTTGCTGGGGACAGAGGCACTGCTTAGATGTGTAGCTTTGAAATTGTGCTTTGTGTAAGACCCTTAGGGATAAGAGCTGTGCACTCTAATTGCATTTCTGTGACACAGTCAGATTTCTTTTGAAAATAACTTGAATTCTGAATTTCCTAGGTTTACCATTCTTGTTCTAAGAGAAAACAGTGTTGTCCTTGTCACGTTTTAATCCTTAGGAGTACCTAGCTGTAGTCTTGCCTTCAAAATTCATGTCACTGAATCCTGATTGTGAGCAGTTTTCATGAAAGGATACCCATACCCTGTTCCTTTCCAAGGTGCTTGCAAGGGAATTCCTCTCTTGCTACTGAACTATTTTCCAGAAGCTGCTTTTTTTTCCCACTTAAGTTTGTGAAGGAACCCTGAAATAAATAAAACTCAAAGTAATAGCGTCTCCAATATTATAGCCAGCTTGTGAAAATGTTCCAAGTTGTAAAAAGACTAAACCTAAAGTGGCCCACAGCAGTGCAAAATCTTTTAGGCTGATTTTGAACTACATTTGCACACAGTAACAACCTCTCATTTTTGAACAAACTAACAAATAAAACATTTCCATGAGGCTGACTATGCTAATCAGTGTAGATAAGCAGGCGTTTCCAGAAGTTCATTTTCAGCATATAATTTGACCAGATGGAATTTAACTCATCTTTAGAAAAAAACCTTGATTTTTAAAAGAAACAAATAAGAAACTCAAACCCTGCTATTACCTTCCCCAAGCAAGCCAGCTGCCTTCTCTCACCTGCACTTGGGTTTCATAGCAGTATTTTGCATTTGGAAATTGCTCTGTAAAATCCTTGTTGCGTTTTGCTGGTTCATCTTCCACACCTGCACTACTCACAGGTTTACCTGTTGCAAACCAGGCTCCAGTGGGAATGTCAGTGACACTCAGGAAAACTTTACAGTCTGAGGTGACACCATGTTTCTCCCTGAACTTGCCTGTGCCAAGGACAGAGCTGACACCTCCAGGGGTAGCTCTGTGTGCACGGTTACAGCTGAGGTCTGACTTGTGCTGCTGTTTGGGGTCACAGCGTACCTACAAAGAGCTGCTCGCTAGGGCCCACGTGTCCCTTCAAAAAGCAGACTCTGCCCTACAGCGGGATATTGGGAGTGATGCTGGTTGGTACCAGGGAGAGATCTCCAAAAGCCAAAACGCCTAAAGCAGCTTTGCTCCAACGACAGCTTCTAGTCCCCTTTCTCTCCTTTGCTTTTCTGGACAAGCTGGGTTTTATCCATTGACTGTTACCATTCCCAGCACAAGGTGGCACTCAGTTTCCAAGAGAGGGATTGCTTGGCCCTGCAGCCCCGCTTCCACTTAAGAGACGAATGTGTGTTAGTTACAAGCTATTCGGCCATTTATTGTTTTGTACTGTGAGATATCCCAGGAGTGCATCAGTGTTACCTGGGGGAAGAAAACAACCAGCCATGCTCGGCAAGGGCAACTGGGAAATAACTTGATGCTGAATGCTGCTGTGCTCTTGCTGGTTTTAATCCTTTTGCATTCCACCTGGAGTTTCCCCCTTCAGCACTTTCCAGACTTACCCATGCCTATCTCTCGAGTTTCTGCTGTTTCCATTAGTCAGAACAACTCCTGCCAAGGGCAGGCAGGCAGTGTGTGCTGCTGTGCCTCACATCCTGCTGGGAGCCGCTGGCCACTGTGTTAAAGGCCCTTATGCAAGGGGCAGTACAAGTACAGGACGAATGGGGCATGAGGGGGAAAGAATGGAAAGAAGCAAGCGGTGTAACATCCTCCTCTCATCCCCTGGGTCTATAGGAATTCTTTCTTGGTTGAGATCCAGCATTAACACTTGCCTTGGGAATGCTGTATGCATTCTTGAGGGGGAGGGGTGGTTGGCTGGTCTTACAGCTCCCAAAATCAAGTAAGAACAAGTTGGCTGCTGCCTGTCCTGTTGCTATGCAGTACTTTTAATTTAGTATTTGCTATGGGGTCACACCTCCATGCTATGTGCTATCAGCAGTAGGAATATCCTGGCCATCTAGGCAACATCTCTTTCTAGAATACTGAACTCTTATGTTTGGTTTACTTGCTATTCTCCCCCACACTGCAAGGTATTTATTATCTAAACAGACACGGTAAATCAATTTCTATGAAGTCTTAATGAAAATTATGGATGAATACAAACAGCGAAAAATGTAGCTGAACACTACTTGGCCTTCCTTCAATCCAGGCTATGTGGCCCTTTTTCTTTGTTGTGTAGCCTGTCTTGCTGCTCTCACAGAAACTAGGCGGTTTAGCCTCTGGACTCTTACTTTTGCCCATGCCTTCTTTGGATCAAGAATTACCAAGAAGTGATGGAGATACCGAGGCACAAAAAACCGAACTGGCTTCCTTAAGGGAACCCAGCAGTGACAGAAGTGACAGACTCTGAAATAGCACTGATCTCCTAAACACTAGTTAAGGCGCAGAGAAAAGATTTGATGCATAACCTTCTGGGCAGGTTTAGGAATTCCCTGACACTGACAGGGATGTCCAGTGTCCAGTGGGATGACAGAGGTCAGAGATGCAGGAAATCTTGGTTGTCTGTTACAAGCTGTTTGTGTGCCCTTGAACTAGGTCCCAGAACCCAAATTTTACTTCTTTAGAGAAAGCAGAACACCCAAATGCTGATCTGCTCTGAAAGTCTGGCTTAGGTTGGGTGCTCCAGAAAGTCAATTTGACTCACAGAAAGGAAGGTGGGGAGATAGAAGTTTTTACCTAACTGAAAGCATATGTAGATGCTTTTAATCAGTGAGTGAGTAGTCATGGTTATCAGTGGGTTGAGGGCCCTGAGAACTGAGCTTTTCCACAGCTTACTGACAAATGCGTCTGCCAGAAGTAGCAAGCTCAGGGAGGCAGAAGGGAACTACACACACACACACACACACACACACACACTGCAGTTTGCACTCATGATCTAGGGTAGAGGTGGGCTGGTGACAAGCACAGGAATCTGGACAAGCACACTCTGGAGTCTGAGGCACTGACTGCCATCCCATGCTACAGCTCCAGCAGCAGAGGGGCAGTTTGTTTGAGTGCCTGGGAACCAGACTGGTTGGCTGCATTACCCAGGCAAGGTTGTAATGGATATTATTTTTTAAAGTCTTGAACTGTTCCACCTTTTATTTATTACTTCTCCTGTTCTTGTGTATCCTTCTGACTTGCCTTTACTAGACTTGCCTTACATATCACTGAAGCACTTGAAGTCTGGCTCCTGATCTGTGTTCTGTCTGCAAAACAGAGATGGTACTACCTGTGACCTAATAAAGCCTGTAAGTCTAATAAAGCTAAAAGGTCCTCAGGAGAAGGACCTTTCCTAGTCATGCAAACTTTTACGTATGTAGTATGAGTCTCGAATTAGGTAACTGTAACTCACAGTGAGAACAGTAAAATTATTGGAAGACCTCTTTCCTCTTTTAGCTTGTAGAAGATGTAGGACAACAGTGACTTTTCTACATTCCTTTCTATCTTTTGGAAAAGCTTCCCCCCTCAACCCCAGCCTAGCATATCTGCACAGGTGAGACTTGCACCCCATTTATGTTGCCAAGCAGCTGCAGTTGCAGTCAGCAAGAATCTATTTAGACTAATTAGATGCTGAAAATCCATTATGGTTCTCTTGTTGGCACCTGTAGACACTAAAAAATTTTGTGCCTCTAACAGGACCTGACTTATGGTAGGGCTTCACAGTGCTTGGCAGGCACAAGTGCTGCTGCACTTCACTGTAAAATGGTGTAAGAAGGAGGAGTCTTGGCTGTGGAAAGCAACTGTAAAGCCAAGAGGAATGGCTCTGTGTCTTGTGACCTTTGCTGATTGCGCGATTGCCTGACGTGGTATCATATGATGACTCTCCTAGACTATTAAGAATCAAGCAGGGCTTTTTTTTGTCCTTGCATCACCAGGATGAAAGCTTCCACAAAGCTGTCATAGCACTTGGTAGTGTACAAGGTGGATGACTTTGGTCGAATTCAGGGATTTGGAATGTACTACTTTGTTTGGGTTTTTTACAGCCCTGCCACCGCTTCCTACTTACAGGCAAACCTGTCCCCCTTTCTTCCCCCTGTAAAATGGAAATAATTCTTTTCTCATTTTTAATTTTGTGCATTGAAATGATATCTTTTCTACAGCAGAGATCATCAAATGGGCAAGGATGTAGAAGGAAGAAGGTATTAGTCATACACCAGTATCAGATAATATGGTATATGCTCATGAGCTGTTAAGTTCAGCAGAGCCTTTCGCCTCTCCAGGGCTGGTTCACGTGGATATTTACTGGCTGCTGTAACGTGCCATTTTTCACCAGCTGGCTCTAATCTTATTGCAAGGTCTTCTGAGCTAGCTTCATTGCAAAGATTTTAACTACACTTTGGAATCATAAAGGAGTAAAGATTAGGTACAGAGTCACAGAATATGCTGATTTGGAAGGGACCCACAAGGATCATCAAATCCAACTCCCGGCCCTGCACAGGACCATCCCCAAGAGTCACACCATGTGCCTGAGAGTATCATTCCAACATTTCTTGAGCTCTGTCAGGCTTGGTGCTGTGACTGCTTCCCTGGGGAACTTGTTCCAGTGCTCAACCACCCTATGGGTGAAGAAACTTTTTCTAATATCCAACCTAAACCTCCCCTGACACAACTTCAGGCCATTCCCTCGGGTCCTGTCCCTGGTCACCACAGAGAAGAGATCAGTGCCTGCCCCTCCTCTTCCCCTTATGAGGAAGTTGGAGACTGCAATGACGTCTCCCCTCAGACTCCTCCAGGCTGAACACACCAAGTGATACTTCTCACCACAAGAGTATTTCAAGATTGTCCTTCCTTTTTCTTGCTCACAGACTCTGAAATTTATTTCTGTGGCTAAAATTGTCAATCCTTACCAGCACTAAAGACTGGAACTGATGATTTCTGTACAATGCCCAGCAAAGGGGAATTTGTACTCCAGCATTCACTCTGAAAAATACTTGCAAGCACTGTTTCCTGGATCCTCGCCTGTTGCGCCACCGGGTAGCTCCACTGGTTTGAGAGCAGAGGATGGTCTGGGTGGTGCTTGGCAGCAGCACCACAGTGGGGAGAAGACAATGTTACTGTTTGTACAGGTGGGAGCGGTGCTTAGCTGTGCACCGGCGCCTGGAGGTTACCGCTGGTTTGGCCACCCGGGGCTCCTCTAGCCAGGGCAGACCCACACACTGGGAAGGGCAGCACGGGGGTCTTGCACCCTACTCTCCTGAACCTGGAAACATGGGAACTGTCTGCCTGTGTGCACTGTTTGCTTGAAGAAACGGTTTAGGTTGTGATTTTTCTTTTTGGCAAGTTTTCCCCAGGAGAGGGAGCAGTCCACACAAATGATGTCGAGGGGAATGAAACAGCTTGTTCCAGCTTCCGCTAAACCGTGTTTGCTGCGTTGCTGTGCATGCTTTCTTTCCTCATACTCCTCATCCTTTTCCTGCATCTTCTGACTCCTCTCGTAGCATTGCAACAGCTTTGGCGGTGCTGGCTCTTCGAGGCTGGCGTTCAGAGAAGGTACTTGCACCTATTTGCATTTTAAGCTGTTTTTCCCACCACAGTGCACCCCAAGGCTGCTTTCAGCGCCCCGTCCCACGGCCCACATCTCCATCACCGGGCCCTAAGTCACCTCATTCCCAGCACAGCGCCCCGCTCGCCTCCGGCCCGAGCCGCAGGGCAGCAGCTCCAGCAGTCACTATGGTGACAGTGGTCAGGCAAAACAGGACATCGGTTAACTCAGGAATTTGGGGCTGCTTCGCTGGAAACCTCTTTTCAATTCCAGCAACAGTAACTTCCAGAGGCTTGCTGCTGCTTAGATATCCATTTGGAGGTTGACTGCTTCCCTAGCAGTCCATTATATTTCCGGTGACATATGTGTAAAAAACCAGAGGAGGTTGTGGAGTTCAAAACCACTGCTGCCAAAGTTCCTGTCTTCATGGTGTCTTTTGTTATATTAGGAAAAGTTCCAAAGCACAGTAGCCTGGTTACTGCTTAGGGAAGGGATTGTGGTTTCTTGTTGACTTACTTTGCTATTTATTCCTTCCTTTCTTTCTCTCTTTCTTTGTTTTTTTAAATAACCGAGAGGAGATATAACAGAGCTAACTTTGTGATAATTGTATCTGGATACTGCATTATATTCCGGTACATCTGATACAAAACCGTCTACTGACATGTGATTATGATTCTTAGTGCTGCTGTAAGCTGAACCACTGGGAAAATTTCCAAGGAATAATGGGAGGAATTCTCAAGGACAAAATGAGGACAGCACAAGGTATCTGTTCAACAGTACTCCTGGGAAACTAGCGTGACAGGGAAGCTGCCGTAGCAGTGACTGGCATGAATAATAGTGCTACTCTTAATTTAGTGTGCCAGTGGAAAGATTTAAGAGGTTTTGTGTATGGATGACCCTCAAATTAAGGGCAAAACTTGGGTGGTGAATTTTGCAGCGAAGTTATACAGCTTTGAAGTTATACAGCTGCTAGGGAATAAACTATTTTCACTGGCTGAGATCTGCAGCTGTCTTCCTGGAGATGGTCATCTCTGGTAAAGACATTCCCTGAGACAGAAGCAGTCTTTTAAGAGCACATAGCTGCAACAATTGCATCTCTGCAGTGTGCTATCTCTGAATGTCTGATACAAAGAAGCCTATAGACACATGCTGTGATTTTTAATGCTACTGTCAGCTGAACCACTCCGGGAAATTTTCCAGGGAGCATCGGGCAGAGTTCTGAAAGACAGATTGAGGACAGTGCAAGGTATCAGTGCTAGCATCATTCCTAGGAGACTACTGTGCTAGAGCCATAGCCTGAAAGGGGGTAAATTTTAAGTGTGTAGCTTCTTTTAAGTTAGTACAAGCAGGCACGATGAAGTGCCTGCAAAAGTCTGTGTTATGAGTAGCCCCCTATACTACAATTTTACAGTATCTAGGCCCATGCTTAAATCCCCTTTTGTGTAGGTGAGCAAAGTGGGATTTGATCTATAAGCTGTGTGTCCTTTCTTTGGCTGGAGGTGTATATTACACCTGAGCAGTGTTGCAATTCACGAGGCAGTAGTTGGAGTATGACAGTTTACTTCTCCAGTGCTGCTCTATCTGCTGCTGGTGAATGTTATCTAAGCCCACCAGATCATGTAGTTCATGTTGATTTTGGAGTCTAGTGGGTGACACTACGCAGTGGTCAGGGTAAACAGTTCACACAGCAGCCAAAGTTCACTCTTGCAGGTCTGAGTTGTCATCTCTGCTTCCAGTTTGCATTGATAAAATGGTATAAAAAAGGAAGCGCATTAGTGGAAATGGGTGAGGCAATTTAACTCATATTGTTGATGTGTCCATTCAAAGGGCAACATCAGAGTCAGCTGAGAATGAGCAAATTGCCATTTATGAAGGCCTGACCTTAGACTCTGGACCTCCACAGCTGAAGAATCACTAAAGGGCCACAGAATTACATTTTCATTATAAAAAAGCACTACTTGAACCTCAGTATAAATGCCATCTCCACCTCAGTTTTGTAATGTGCTCTGAGATAACAGCATGTATTACTTCAGAAGAATGCACTTAGCCATCTCACCATAGACCTGTGGGCTGGTGCCATCCAGGGACAGCACTCTTAGAGAGTTTATAATCTCCATGATTTTCTGTTCAGAAGACATCTCTAGGCAAGGAATTCCTGCTTCCTGTTAAGGCTGGGTGTGCAGCAGATTTTGTCTGTTGACACTGGCAAGTCTCTTTAGGCTTCATTTTAGTGTCTTTATAGGTCTTTGCTTCCGTGTTTCATTACTTCAATTGTGTGCCTTAAGTTTTAAAATTGTTTTCAGATGGTCCTTCTACTTGCTGGCACTGCACTGCCTGGATATGACTGTATCTGAAAGCTCAACAGTGATGCTTAAACTGTGACAGTCATGCATAGTAGGTCCCCCAGGATATTTAATTTGTTGCTGTTTGCTTGCTTCTGGGCATCTGTTTAAAAGGGGAGAAAAACTACCAAACAGAATCAGCTGTTGAAAGAAGCTAAATTCAGCTGAAGCTTTTGGATGTGGCCTTAGGTGAGTTCTGACAACTCATGGGCTCTCTCACTTCTACTTGCATACAAATTTGTGTAGACAAGAAGTTCCTATTTAAAGGATTGTGATTTTGTCAGTTTGTGGAGGAGTCTGGTTAAAGGACAGATCTCAAAGTGGTGTTAGGAAGAAAGGGACATTTGTCTGCATAGCTCTTCTCTACTGCCCATCCTCTCCATGGGACTGTGGATGAAAAATGTTTTCAGTTCTACTGTGGGATAGAGAATGCAGCCCAAGTTCACAGAGCCCAAGGGTGGCATTTTTCAATAGTACCAGCTGCTTCATAAGCCAATGGCTGATTTGTCCCTGACCTCCACGGTAGTGGCACTAGGCCAACACTGTATGCTCCAGCAAATCATTCCCTCAGGCTCTGTAAATCCTGTGCTATTGTCCTGCTTCTGGGGCACTGAGAGGACACCCTCTGTCACTCATGCTCTGAGAGCAAACTATACAGCAAGGGTGGTGATAGTGCTTTAAGCTGCTGGACTCGGGGTGCAGGGATGGAGCTGAATGCCTAATTGAGGAATGTCAATGGCTGGATCACTGCCAGGAGTGACCATCACCTATCTGCTTTGGAATTTGCAGAAGTGCATGTGCCACGCTACCTGCTGAACACAGGGCTGTGGAAAACACAGGTCTCTTGAGCTGTGAATCAGAAAGAGCGCAGTTGACACTATAGACTACCCTTATACTCAGTTGGAAACACTATTTGTTCCAGTTGAACACCACCTCCCAACCCTTTCTGTTCTGTCTCTCCTCTGCTATTTTAGTCAGCATGCAGAAGCCTTTTTGTTATAAACTGAGACACTACGTGAGAACACAGCACCTTCACCCAGAGCAAAGGGCACAGACTCTCTTTGCAGTGGCTTCTGCTTATAAGGGACAGCAGAAACATTGGTCCTGTAGCCAGGTTTGAAAGCTGTGGTTTCTCCTATTTCTAAAAATTTCCTGCCTTTCAGCTGCTCTGCTCATCAAGAGAGTTAGCAAGAGAGACAACAGAGAGGCTGAGTGGCACTTGCATGAAAGATGGTAACAGGAGAAGGGGGGAGGTAATAAAAATGGGACAAGAACAAAAGTAAGAGTGACCTTGACAGAAGAAAATAACAGTGGTGGCCCAGAAGATGGAAGTGCAATAGACAGTGGAAAGGGGAGACCTTGGAAAGATTAACGAGACTAAGCTGTACTGAGGAGGAGGGACCTTGCACTGATATTTCCAGGCAGCTGTGCAGCCATTTTCTCATGCAGTGAAAGAGATAAACATATGCACCATGTGTTAGAAAGCAGAAATACAAGCATAAGGGATTTTTCTGTTTTCACTCTCAATTTTGTGAAAATTGTTGTTCTTTTTCTAGAGTTGTTGACTTTTTTCCTAGAAGCTACTTCTCCAGAAGGCATGTTCAATTTTGCAGTTCCCCAGTGGGTGGATTTTTACACATGCAGTATAATGCCTTTGTTTGGAGAAGTGTCATGCACAAACAGAAATCTGAGGGTTTATGGCTGGTAGAGCAATAATGATTTAAAGGAAATTCCTCTCTCTATGCAAGTTAAGACATGCTAAATTCACCTCTCCCCTGAAGCTTGTGTCACCATCCATGCAAGCTAGTCTGAGCAAGTCACATTTCTCTCTGCTTTGAAGTTCCAGTCAGTGGCAGATCAGACCCACTAAGGGACTGAGTGAAATCTGTCCTGCCAACTCTACCACACTCTTAGCAAGTTCACAGAAGACTATGGGGTGGAATGTCACTGCACTGTTGAGTTAATAAAACCTTGAAGCTGCCTTAATTTTGCTGATGTAACTCTGCCTTGGGTCCTAGAAGTGGTATGCAAGAGCTCAGGTGGCTGTTTCTGACATTTTTCTTAAAGTTCACCGCAGTGCACATAGAAGACAGGCCCTATTTTCTCTTTAGCAATCTAGGAAGGACCCCATTACTCAGCTTTGTTTCAGGGAGAAGTTGAGGATGGATTATCTTGCCTACAGGAGTAGAAAAGGAGCATGAAGCACCTGGACTGGATGCTGCCCATCCTGCACTAGTTCAAAGTTTCTCTGGATGTGTCCTTGGCAGATGAATTTCTCCACTTGCTGAGGATTTGTGTGTGACATTGAGTCCCAGAGGAATAGCTGCTGCTCAACTGTAGTGTTCTCTATGTAGAGAACACTACTAAAGGCTTGGGTACACAGCATTTGAGAAACCTGGCCAAGGCAGTTTGCCTGGCATGCTACAGTCCTAGATGTTCCAGCTGGAAGTAACATCCCATCTCTCACCATTGCTGGGCTGCATCTTTAGTACACAGGCTCCTTGGACCGAGACTGCAGCTTTGTCTGTGTAACTAACACTGCCACACTGGAAGATCTCTGATACAATCACTTTGTCAGAGACCCGTTCCTGCTGAGTCCCAAGCAGCAGCAGCTTGTCTTAGGATGGGTTTCATGATACTGAAGTGGAGGAATCCTACCCAACAAGACTTTCTGTGCTCTACACACCTGTGATGGATTGAGCTGTCTACTGCCAGTGCCCTAGATCAACAGTGAGGATGAATGAGTTGAACGCTGGAGGAATCTCTCCTTTGACCACTGATGTGATTGGATTTTAGTAAGTAACCAACACAGAGAAAATTTGTGTTAAGTGAATTTATTTCTTCCTTCCTCTCATATTTATATGTTGAATTAATATTTTATATTCAGAAAGTCAATTAGCTGTGCCTGCCACTGTGCAAGAAACATTGTTTTAATTCTTCTTTCAGAAAGTTCTGCTTATCCTGCCTGTGTACAAGATATGTACCTATAGCTTACTTAGGAAACTTCTATTTGCGTGGCATGACTATAAAGTACTTTGGAACAGCTGGTTCTGTTGTCCCTGGTACTGTGCTCCTAACACAAATCTCATGAATGGGATGGGCCGTGAGTATAGAACTTGGAAGTTTTTGGCTCGGTTGATGGCATCTTGTTTCACTTGTGACACAAGTGAACTTGGAGACAAGAAAGGAGATGTTATTGACTGGTGTCTTTCCAGAAGTTTACACTGCCAAGTTGGCAACAAGCCCTGCTTTCATTTCCGCTCACACTGACACATCTACCCTTCAAATCAACTTAAGTGCCAGCTGCAATGATTTACATTCTTCTCTCCCAGAAGTGAAGTTTCTTAACGGATTATAAATGAGCCAGAGATGTTTCTTGACAGTCATTTTATCTGTCCAGAAGTGATAAGAATTAATCCA